CGATCTGTATTTTCAAAAATGAGCAAATACGAGTCTGCTACATATGAAATATTTATTTTCAGTGTATTTCATGAACACGAAATTCAGAGTTAATGACATTTTTTTATTTGATTAGATAATATTGAGTCATGATGACTTGAGACTATAGATACGTTCGATATTTCGGTAGCTTTCTTGATTAATAATAGCGAAACGATGTTCACTTGTACTCTTATCATATACATTAATCGCTTTGAAGTATACAATCTGTAATATGAGCTTGTTTATTCCGCCTAATTAAAAGATGAATGTTTCCAATCATTACATGCTCACATGGGAAGCAGATCTTAACACGTAAGTAATACTTTCCATACGCCATAAATTAAAAAGTAAAGTAGCGCGTTTGCATATACAACCGCAGAGCTAATAAAACATGTAATTAAAAATAAAATATGAAATATAAGAATTAAACAAATAAATCGATCAGCAATAAATGTACAATTGAAACATCTGTTCATAACTTTCAAATGAAAATTATTCAAAGATAAATGTTTTCAAAATCAATTGAAATCAAGCACAAGTGGAAATTAATGGAGAGAATAAAAAATTGTTGCGCTAAATGAAAAAAATATTCGCTATTATTAATCTCTGCTTGAATTTTCAGGCCAGGACATTACGAAGGGGAGCGGTCCATTCTTCATGTTGTACCAAATATTCCTAATTTGCTGGATCTCCTTCGGGTTGGGCTACATCGTCATGATAATGACATTCATCGCTCGTGGTATGCGCAGCAAAAAGATTACAAGGCTCGAGCACAAACTGGCGATGAATCTCAAGCTTACGCAGAGCAAGATTTGGAACGAGTTTAATAAAGAGGTCAACTACCTACGCCGTGTTTTCAACGAGTTACAGCTCTCTAAGGTCAAAGTAAGTGACCAGGTTGGACCAGATAACCTTAAGCAACCACCAAATTTTACTGCTAAAATATTCACACTGCTTCATACATTTTTATGAAAATTTATATTTTATTATCCTTTTTATTTTATTTTTTTTATATGTGTTTATTTTAAATCCTAAGAAAATTCGATTATCAATAAATATTATGAAATTATCTTATCTATCATGGTGAATAACTGACTTTTTAATTACTCCAGTTGCATTCGTCGTATTTTGAATTGAGATATTTTAGTAATTAATATAGCGACTCAATATATAGTATGTAAATTATCAATTATAAATTTTTTTACATTATTATCTTTATTAATAAAACTCTCTAAGTACCGATTATTATTTGTTTAATATTGATTATTTATTCGTTTGTTATTTTCTTATTAGAGAGTATATGTGGATGAGTACGAGTCCGAAGAACCTCCGGTGAAATTCCCACGCAGCAACAGTTTTCCGAATCTCCGAGATTTAACAATTGGTGGATATGTGGACATACCGCATCCACGACGACGAGCTAACAGCGAAGTGGTGCCAGTGGTAAGTCATAATAATTTAATGTAATATTATCATCTCTTGTTAAATATTATAATGTTTTATTAACAACGTATTATTTAAAGGATGAGCTGATTCGTGTGGTGTCCGAGACGGATCTTCAAAGGATAGACAAGAACGCGACATTCGCCGCGCACGCCATAGTGCAACCGGCTGAACTCTTGGCGCGCTTGGTGAACATCCTCGGTTACATACCTCCACGGGATGACTTTGAGTGTGATCAAACTGAGGAACAAGCCGACACGCAAAACGAGACGCAGCATAGTAAATCGATTGACCAAGACCCAGCCAACAATATCTCTCATTGGACAATCGGCGGTGAAAAGTTCCCATTCTCCAAGCCTCGATCGAGGGCAGCCAGCGAAATACGACTGCATACTACGAAGGACGATTCCGTTAAACGTAATACCGAATGGACCTGGTCCGGAGTAGCCTCGACGAAGTTGCAAGAGATGATGAAGGATAACGACACGACCATATCTTCCAAGGACAATCCCAACAAGCCGTATAAGAAATTCGCGTCGCTCGCTTTGCCACTTACCGCGTCCAAGAACCTTTTTCCCAAGTGGAGAAAACAATTCACGAATAAGAGGTCGTCGGACGTTGGTTTTAATACGAGAAATACAGAGAAAGCTATTGAAATAACAGATGAGAACGAGAAGAGCAATCAGCAGAATAATTCGATCGGTCCACTACCCTCGTATTTAGACGAAAGGCACGATTCGATCTCGAGGAGGCCGCATTACTACACACATACCGGTGGCAACCTGCCGAATTATTTGGAAAACAACAATATACTGGAAGAGACGAGTCTAGCAGAATTTCTTAGAGCATTAACCGCTCTTCACGCACGGGTAGGAACGGTTCCCGAGGATTATGTTCCCAAACCCAAAAGAAAATTAGGAACGGCCAGCTTGAGCCCGCCAAAGTTACCTAGTCTTTTTACTCTCTTCTCAAATGCACCTGGTTCTGTTTCGGCAAATCAGAGCAATCAGAACACTGTCACGGGAGCACAATCGAGCAGGAGAATGTCTCTCAAATTGTCTACTGATAATTATTCTGGCTCTAGTACGCCTACATCCTATGTCAGAAAAGGAAGTGTTCCTGTAAAATCTAGGAGATTCTCTTTGAGGCCAGTCGCGACTCCAGTGAGTCCTCCGACGCCGCCTGATTTAGGGTCACCACGATTATCGGTAAGCTTGCATTACCAAAAAAAAAAGTTTTTATTAAATTCCACGAGTATAAAAATTCTCACAACTATTATAAATTTAAAATCTTGAAAGAAATTTTAATATAAGGAATAATAGAGTATAGTGATTAATAATTTAATATAAATGAAAGTAATCTTAAAACTTAGTTTATAAAACAAAACTATTTTTCAGCTACGACTCTCTCAAAGAATGGATGATCGACATCTTCAAGAACCCGTTTCGTTAGAACCCTTTATTTCTGTATCATCGAAGGAACCGCTCGTGAATATGGAGGGACCACCGGGAATTTCGTTGCCGATCCAACAGCCATCCATTAATCAACGTTTTTCCATAAGACCTGCTCAACTCAGCACGCAACCGAGTCCGACGAGCACCATGTCCACACCTTCGCCGTTGCACACGCCTAAACCGCTGCCGAAATGGAAAGCGGGTATGCTTCAGCGACAAATCACTCAGATGAATCTACGTCGTCGTGCCAGGGCGTTCAGTCTCAGTGATGTTCATTCTGATAAACGTGAAAAGATCACTCCTCCTCTCAGTCCTCTCGCTATAGATAACACCAAGACCATTGACGTTAGCAAATCGAACAACCCGAAAACGGTGACCATCATGTCGCCGGCGGAGGAGATGATCTCGAAAAATGAACTTCAGGATTCCATGGTAGTTCCTTCAAGTTCGAGAGACAACCAAATTGTATGGAAGGATCAGGAAGGCGTAATTTCACCAATTAATCCCTTTGTTTTCGAGATTTCCAATGAGTCACCCACAGAATTAAATGAATCCATGATTTTAAGCATGCATAAGGATGAAATATATCCTCAAGGGAATTTCGTACCAGTTTGTGAACCGATTTACAAACCGTCATCTTCCTCTACGTTCGAACAAAAATTAGTAAAATTGAATGATGAGCTGGATATAACGCTTCAAAGAGGGATGCAAGAGACGAATGTGGATGCTAAAGTTTTGCTTAAAATGGAGCAGAAACAGAATGATACACACATAATTGATGTAACTGATAATTTAAATGCTTCAACGAGTAGCGGAAAATCTCCAGAATCAAGAAAAGGGAAGCTCAGCGTTTCAATAGACTCGTACAAGCCATCGCTGCAAATGACGATAGAGAAACCAATGATTAATCCATTCGAGCAATACAGAGCTATGACAAGGGCTGGTCAAAAGGAAGATGATACGGATTTAAAAGAAGTTAAAATCGAGAAACCTGGTGAAAAGTAAGAAAGGGACATAAATTCATACTATGCTAAAAGTCCAACAATTAAAGAAATTTACGTATTTTACCTAATTTTAAAAATAGAAATCTGGAGTTAAATTAACAGAAAGATATTTACAAACTAGTTTACAGACATATTGATTTGATATTTTTATTAGGAAAAGGTTAACTTTACATTTTGCGAAAAATAATCCGTTTTTTCTCAATTATAAAAAAAGGATAACACATATGAAATCAGTATAAGAATCTTGCCCGTTAGAAATTTACGGTTTTACTGCACATATTGCTGTGCAATAAATGATATCCTATTAATAAATAATTATTAAATAGGATAAAATTTTATACGCTGCTTCGAAAACTTTCTACTGTAAATAATTAATTCGCTTCAAAACGATACGTAATTTATTAAAAAAGATTGAGGTAAAAAAAGTATAATTTTATTCAAATGCATTCATTGCTACGCAAATTCCAGAAAAAAATACAATTCAGCAATTAGGTGACTGATTTTGTGGAAGTTGTTTTCATCGATATGTAAAACATCTAATTTTTTTCAGACTAGTCGAATTTGTAACATTTTTAACGAGACACGTATATTTTATGAGAAACTAGATAACGCATGCTAATATAATGATAATTATTAGAGGAGTAAGTAAATTAAAATATTTAAGTTATTAGATTAGTTTTAATTTAAACTTGATAAAAGAAGACTGATATAATGAGTAAGGTATATGTATCCTCAATTTAATTTAAACTGAAATAAATTATTTGGAAAACATAAATATATAAGTAAATCATGTGAAAATTTTAAATTAAATAACTAAAGAGAAAAAAATATTGTTTATTGAATCCAAAATCCATTGAATTAAAATCCGATCCCCATTCGAAAAATTATTAAGCTACGTAAATCACGTCATTCGAAGTAATTTGCAGATTAATATTTCGTATCGCAGTTCAACTTGTCAACTACGATCTTGTGACTGGATATTTATCAGTCACTCGCGTGATCATATTTATTCTACTAAATCTTGAAATCAATGTTTGAATGTATAATAGTAAAGGAAGAAATGAGACACGTTCTACGAAATTTACAGTATTTTATTGACAAGTTCTTACAGAATAAATTATAAAGATGTATTTGGTTTTTCGAGCTGTAACTCGAAGCTGTGAATTATTACCAGTTAAATTAAAGATCCGGTTAAATTCTAGATTTCACCCGGAGAAATTCGGATTATTAAAGAATTATTCATATAGAAATTGTACCTATATGTTCACACGTGATAAGTGTAGTTACACTTCCTCGCGTGCATTCACTTGTATAACTTCACAGTTAGCATCTATCGATGACAAAAAGTTTATCACGGTCGTTTAGCACGTCGTGCGAAATAATACAAATAAATTCATGCAAAATCTAATAAATAAACTGTTCCAACACGCGAATTGAAATGAAACTAAATGCAGTATAAGTATTTTCTTGTACTGATGTAAATCTCTCAACTGCGAAAGGTTGAGCATAGGGAATGCTACGATGTTTTTAGCTGTCTCCGTATTTCGTCGATGAGGTTGCTACGTGGCACGCGAGTTTCCTCTCGTGTCGAGACGACTCTCAATGTAACTTCACCCTTCGCCAATTCGCCTTCCCCGATGATTATTGCCAGTGGGATGCCGTTCTCCTCGCAGTGTTGTAGCTGCGCCAAGAGCTTGGCATTCTTCTTGTAAGATTGTTCCGCCTTCACGCCGGCGTCCCATAGATCCACCAGTATCTTCATCCTTTCCTCATGCAGATTCTTTTGCGCGCTGGCTACAAACACCTCAATCTCAGTAGTACGCGTTTTTAGGCCCTTGTTTGCCAATTTCGCCTCCATAACACTGAATATCCGCTCCACACCGACCGAAACGCCGACACAAGGTACATTTTTGTTCTTGCTATCGAACATTCCTACTAAATTATCGTAACGGCCGCCACCTGCTACGCTACCAACACCGACATCGTCTCCTGTGAAGAATTAATGAACGCTATTAATACTTTGCCAAAACTATTTCGTATAAAAAATATTTCCGTCATGTAATATAAGAAAATTTAGAAAGAAAAAAATCAATATGCGTACCACACAATATAGCTTCGTAAATAACACCCGTGTAGTAATCAAGCCCTCTCGCGAGACTCAAATCAAACTTAATTTTGTCCAGAATTTTGTAGATGCCGCAATACTTTAGCAATAGTTCCATAGAGTCTAAACCTTGCACAGCGACAGACTGTTTCATCAACTCTTTGTTTTTCCTCAACTCGGCTATCAGTTCCACTCCACCGGATTGCGAGACGTACTTGCCGACCTTATCGGCAATATGTTCATCCAATCCCTTTTCGTCCGTCATCTCTTTCTTTACCTCCTCCCATGGACTCTTGTCCAGTTTATCCACGGAGGAACAGATGCTGCGAAATTTACTCTGTGGCACACCACACGCGGCGAATATGCCGTCCAATAAAGATCTATGATTCACCTTAATTGAATATGGTCCCAGATTCAGAGCTTCTAACGCTTCACACACAACCCGAATACATTCCACGTCTGATAACATTGGATCATACTGACCTGCGATATCGAAATCCTTGAAGATACCAAATTAAATTAGTACAAAATATCAATGTTAAAATGTCAATGAAATATCCCTAGAACGTAATAATATGCATATATTATGCTTACACATTGATAAAATTCCCTGTATCTGCCTTTCGTTGTGGCTGGGTTATCTCTTCGATAAACCTTGGCGATGTGATATCTTTTAATAGAAGAAATCTTGCTCATGGCTAGATACCTCGCGAAAGGAACTGTCAAATCGTATCTAAGTGCGAGAATCTCACCACCTTGATCCTTCAAATCGTAAATAAGCTTGGAGTCTTCACCATATTTACCTGTCAAGACATCCTGTGACAAGAGCAGTATTAAAAAAAAAAATATTAATAAAATTGAAATTAATATTGCCTTTTATAACAATCTGTACGTTTACTCTTACCTTTAACTCAAATACAGGCGTATCTATCGTCTCAGCGCCATGACGCTTGAATACTGATATTATTTTTTCCAACACTCCCAATCGCAGTGCCATTTGCTCCGGATTATAATCCCTCGTGCCTTTTGGCGTTTTGAGGATGAGTTTATGAGGGCAACCATTCTCCTCTCCCAATTGTGCTTTCAGGTCCAACAACTTGGCAACTTCCTCTGCTATCTATGAACAAGCAAATGAATACGTCATTAATATACAAAACACGGCATCGCTCTCGTTCTCAGATATCCAGGGTACGATAGTGGAGAACGTCGTACCCACCTGTGGCGTCGTGGACATCAGCACGTTGCGATTGAGTTTCCATACGACGGGGAAAGAATTGTTGCGTATCAGGCGTAACATCATGAATGGATGAAGGAATTACAAGGCAACCAGAATGAAAGAGAAAAGCCCCCTCAATCTCTTGATTTATCAAACTAGTCCAAACAGCAGAGATAATATCAGTAAGCAAGCTAGTATGAAGCTGTCATTAATTATTGCCATAGTCTACAATTAACAGAGACTGTTTGTTTTTAATCTTTTTCTCCATAAACTTTGTCCTTAAATTTTTCAAAATTTGGGAAGAAAATATAAAGGTTTTTTTGTTTAGAGAGGAAATTCAACTTTTCAGACTGGAACATGTATTTATTTTCCAAACTATATCCAATTTTTGCCATGTAAAATCTTCTACTGGATTTCTCAGCTATGCTTTTTTTTCTGAATGTTAGCCACAGCAATTTCGCAATAATTTATGACAGCTCTGCTTGCAAGCAACCAGCTGTCTCACCTTTTTGTCTAGCATACTTTTGCTAATATAGTTAGTGCCCTTTAGCCGCTCAATTTTTTCTGCCAAGGAAGTGAGCGGCGTTTCCACAACAGGAAACACTAGACGCTCTTCCTGACTAAAGCTTTTCATGTTAATATGCCATCTGTTCAGATGCGGCCACCTTGCAAGCTCACCATTAAGGATGATACGCAACGTGTCGAATAGTTCGGCGTCCTTGGACGTTGGACACCAACCACAGACATAGCTGATATCCGCAAAATCACCATTTAAGCCTTCTAACTCAATATTTATATCAGACTGCTCTCTGTACTCCTGAGAAACGAGACGTCTCTCTAAAGAAAGGCTTAGGAACATTGGCGACAAAAAGGGAAAGAGAAATCTATTCTTTGCACCTGTCTCAATAAAAATTGCTGTTACAGGGGCTTGTTGCATCATGTTCATTGTTACGAAAGATCTGTTCGCTTTAACTGCATTTTTATTATTAGAAAAGAGGAAACGGTTTCGTGCTTTGTTAGACTCTAGAATGAGAAGAAAATTGAGCGTGAAAGTTGCAGCTGAAGCCAACAGACCTGACATTTACCTGGTAATGACGTGAAGGGGAGATCGAAGAATAAATCAGTGGGAGCATGATGCAACATGGAAGACAAAAACATTTGAGGTAGCTGCTTAAGGTGAAAAGATCAAAAGACCAGTTTCGAGTGCGGCCGATTTCGCGGAAGTAAGTGAAGGTAACATGATGACAGGGTGTAATTGAGCGCGATGTGGAGCGGAGAGGTGTGGAGCCCCCTCCGAGGATAAGAGAAAGGTGGTACATCTGTCACGGGCAGACGACGCGTCAGGAATTTCCTCGGAGGAGGGGAAAGGGCTTGAAGGGTTGAGTCCGCATACCTGCGTGTTATCGACTTTTGCGGCCTTTAATCGTCGCACCAATTCTCCCTGCTCCTTCACGCGACTCAGCAACGTATCCCTCGATGTTTCGTCAGCCATCGCTAGCACGTAGCAGTGTATGGCAGTGTAGCACCGCACGCGGTATCTCGGAGCCCTAATTCCGTGCGTTCCGCTCGCCGACGCATTACTTTATAGCCTGATCCGAATTCCGAGGAACGAATCGCGCCGCGCGAGTGATTTCCCACTCTCCACCGCGGCAATTCTCTATTGCAGCACACTTCACTCGAGAGAGGCTCGACCGGGCTCGACCGTAGGCTCGACACTCGTGAAACGGATCCTTCTGTTTCTGTAATCAAACCACTCAACGCGGACACGTGTAGCCACATCAATGTATGAGTACTTACGTGTGAGAGTGTGGGAGTCGTGGGAGAGAGAAAAAAGAGGTCTACTCCCCGCACTTGCACCGCATTATGTACGTTTATTTAGCATTTAGAACGAAGTGGATAAATAAACAAAATAAGACAAACAGAACATCGAAGAAAAAGGAAGGAAAAAATAAAAGGTTCATCCGTGAGGGATACTTTTCGTGTGTCTTATAAAATTTTTTCTTATACGAGGAGATTTATAAACAGCCGATGTACACTTGCACATGGAAAGTGCAGGTGACGCGATCTACCTGAAGTTGGGAACGTGATGTAACCACATTCCACATTTCAGCAGACAAATTCTGAACGAGCTGTAATTTAAAAACGAATCGCAAGTATGAATCACACGATGAATGAAGGATTATATGTCCAATAATTGTATATTTGAACTATCGAGTGATATAATTTCGATAAGTTTGACATGTATTGCATATACAAATGCGTAAACGAAACGTGGTTAATAAGGAGAGGGAGATCTTCCAACGATGCGCCTGTGTATGTTACGCGACCAACTTCATGATGTACGATGATATCAAGTGGAATTTTCCTTAAACAACACAAACTTGATCTGTGACTTTTATATAATTGATTTTAGCTTCATCAAAATAACTTTAAATAATTTTAAATTTAACTTTAAAATTTCAAATTTAATTTAATTTTTTTTAAACTTGCTTTTTACCAACGTGGATCAATTTTAATCTCGATTCAAGTTGTATTGTTCATCTTTTTCTGTTTCTAAGAATTAGAAAAAAAATGAATAATCAAGTCATTAAGTTGAACCGAGATTAAAGTTAATCTACGCATTCGTGGAATTGGCATAAGAGAGTTAATAATCCGCGCGTATGGTTTAATATTTTTATTCGGAATATGCGTATTATTAACGTACATGAACATTTTTGTATCGCAATTATATTCATTATTCTGCAATATGCAAAATATCCTGCATTACTCGCCTCAATGACATCATTATATTTCTTAACGTGAACGTATCGATGCAATTATTATTTATTCGTTCCCGTTTCAGTCCCTATCTAATTTAATGTACACGTTACGTTCCGCAGCTTGTAATCAATAGGGAGTTTTTGCAATACCATTTATCCAGATACGGTGAACGCTAAGGTCACGTTATCTTTTTCTTAACAACTAATTAAAAAAGGATAACGTGACTTTAGCGTTCACCGTATTTGGATAAACGGTATTGCAAAAACTCCCTAATCTTTCTGCGGCGGTTCAGAACAAACGCGATCAGATTTTGCGGGAATTACGGCTGATTTCACCAGAAATTTTTCTTCGAATTAAATAACGTCCTTTAAATTTATCCTTAACGCACAATTTCCCTGTTTTATGCCTGTTTCTACCAATGCAGTTTAACTTTAATCTCGGTTCAACTAATTCTTCATCTTTTTCTAGTTTTAAAAATAAGAAAAAGATGAAGAGTAAGTTGAACCGAGATTAAAGTTAATCCACATTGGTAGAAACGGGCATTAATGCGTAATTGTAACATTTAACAGCGGATAATTGTACTAATTATTGGACTAGAGTATTTCATATTTTTATAAATTTCAAAATTTTTAATTAGTTCATAAACTTCGATGAATATTTTCATTCCTTAGAACAAAAGAAAATCTGTGAAACTTTCTAAAATTTCATTAATTTAATATTTAAAAATTAATAACTAATAATTCGATTTTTTTAAATCTTCGACACTCCTAAGATTGTATCAATTTAATATTTGTGTTTTAGTTTGTATTGGTTTAATGTATGTTGAGAATGTAAAAGCTTGATAAATTAACATGTAAAAATTCGCATGTTTGATCATATTTCATGCTTGACAACTTATTCTCTTCACATCTCGTTCTAGCACCTTTTCATGAAGCCGTGGCGGCAAAAATCAGAAATAATTTACGCTCGAGCTGACATTCACTAACGTGAGATGCAGATATTAATTAAATTTCTCTATTCGAGGAAACAAATTACGCAATTAGCGCAAATCAAAATCTGCAAATGGAGCATTTTACCATTTATAATGTAAAAAATATCTATACATTTTTTATGTCGGAACAATCATTATGATCCGTTTACTTAGGTTTTTATTCGCGGTTTAGAGAAAGCGTTTTATTTTCAATTGTGAAAGAACGCGTCTAAAGATTATTGCATTCAGAGAAATTGGATTTCAGAAAAGTTAATGTCTTTTTATTTCGTGAGTATAATAAACATATTAATCTATTATAATTTATTATTTATTTTATAAGTACTCTGCAATATACATTCTCATCCAACAGAACTCGTGGACAGGTAGAGCGGACTAAACTGAGACGGAAAGTCCTCTACCATTTTACAATTTTTGCAATAGAGAAGAGAAGTTAACGAAATATTAATCTCTAAAGATCACCGAATACGCGCGTCCGCGCGGCCTACTATTATTAAGTGTACGCCTATTACTTGTTCGGCACGCGGGGAATGGGGATGGCCTGGCAAGGATGAATTATGGGACACCCTGTATAAGCTGAATAAATTAAGTAAAATTTAATTCCTAATTTCTTTTCTCATTTTCAATATTTCTAAAATAAAAATTTTTAACATCTTTATTATGATTTGTCGAGCATATTAACCTGTAAAGAAAACTTGAGTTATAAAAGTTTGGAATATTTGGAATAAAATATCCAAATTTTTTTTTAATAATTCGTTAATTTTGCATAGATTCGTAAAATTGGTCAATCTCTTTTAGAATATATATATATATATATGAATATCAGAAAGATAAAATGATAAATACTTTGTGAAATTCCAAGAATGCGCGTACGCTTCTCAAAGCTTGCTGAAATGCTCTCTCAAATCCGGCATTACCAACATCCTGTCGACGAATAAACCTCGTTAATTATACTCATAAATTCTACAGTAGGACAACATATTGTCTCGTTAAATTACTTTTATAGAGAGTGCGTTTTTTTTTTGTTTCATTCACGAGCTTTATTCTATCTTCCTTCTACAAGTAATGAGTAATAAAGATAGAATAAAGTTTATCGAAATTAAACGCAGTTAAAGTTTCTCGTGTAATACATACAAAGAGAGGATCTCTTATGATAACTGCTCCAGATGGATCGTATTTCCCAAGTAGTTCTATCTTTGCTTGGCTACCTTCCGGTTGTTTTTCATACAATTCTTCGATAATATATTCGTCCATTCCGAGTATCCAGTCGAATTTGTAAAAATCGTCGATCGTGATCTGTAAATTATTCCTGATATAATTATATCTTAAATCTCTGTATATCTCTGTATATTGTTGTGGAAAATATTTTTGTCCAACAATCACGTAAAATTGATAGACAAACAGAAGGGAGAATCAAATTGAATTGTAAAATTTGAGACACAATTAAAAAGCGAAAAAATTGACAATAGAAACAAGAAATAACAAATTCAACTTATCTTGAAATCTATTAGTGTCTGTTTTTATTGTCTCTGCTTTTCAACTGTTTATTAAGCATAACATTTACTTTTCTTGCAATATGAGAGTAATCCGTAATTCCAGCTTTCTGAAGTGTGGCTGTCGCTCTAGGTTCAGGATCATTGCCTACGTGATAATCCAGAATAGCGGCGCTTTCGACCTCCCAGAAATGTATCAAATCCATTTTTCGGATTTGATCCCGAAACACCGCTTCCGCCATAGGGGAGCGACAACTATTCCCTGCATGAAATATACTTTTGTTATTTATACGTATTTAATAATTGCGCCTATTTCTAGCTCTCAATCGCTCATCAATTTATTGTTTACTATTATTATTAAATATCTCAAGAGCTCAATTCAGTTTTAAATTTATATTATTAAAATATTGAAATTCTAGAAATGCAATTCTAGATATTTCAACATTGTTGAAATATCTTGAAATGCATGCGGATTCATTGTAAGAAAAGCCAAGACTGCTTTCAGCTATACTTTAGTTTGGCGAGTTATATGTACATTGCATGCATTATATCAATTATATAACTCTTAAAAATAGAAAACTATAACCTTACGTGAAATATCTCAGAGCTTCTCCCTAAAGAAATTATTTCATCACATGTATGTGTTAAAGTTCATGGGTGTGTTCCATTATTCAGTGCGAGTACTGAAAATTTATCGTATATTATTGATTTTCAGTACTTGCAGTGAAAAACGGTAGTGAATATATATATATATATAAGGAAATACTATTAGCACTAATTGTGTCAATCCATCATCATAGACATAAAATAAAAGTGATGCAAAGTATTAATTTAATATGGCTAATATTAAAGGTGCGTCTCCCCGAACACATTCTTAATTTCCTTATTCTTTTAAAACAAGTGCGACAAAAAAAATTCAACACAATTCAATTCATAATTAAAAATAAGTAAGTTACAATACCTAAACAAACCATGAGAACTTTCTTCTTTCGCATCATATTGATTTCTTGCTAAGTAGGTAAGACAATAGTAAAAGAACACTGAAAAATTTCGATTAATATCTATCTTTAGTGGAGATCAAATTAAAAAGACCACTGTCTTCCTCGCGCCACCCGGTCTGATTAGTGTTTGACAATGGATGAGTTCAAAACAGCAAAATGGCTATAAGCAAGCTTACCGAGTGATTAGGCGAGTTCAAGACGGCTATGCATGTTTACCGAGCCATTGAATATGATTAGTTGGATGTATAAGTAACATCCAATTATGTTGATTTACTCGGCGAGCAGGCTAGCCGCTTGTTAACTTGAACACGCTCATTGTCAAACCTAATCAGACTGAGTGGCGCGAGAAAAAAAGTGGTATTTTTAGTGATCTCCATTAAAGATAGATCTTAATAGAAATTTTGCGTTTATAACATTAAGAACCGATTGTTCCACCTTTTGGTAAATTTTACCTGTTGAGTAAGTAGCAAGATTATCCAATCACATGCGCGGATTGCCATATTTACCTAACAGGTAAAATTTACCAAAAGGTGGAACAACCGAGCCATAAAGGAAGATAAATGGAAATAACAATCATTATGAAGATAAAAAACATAAAGATGGCAAGCGTACCAATGTGCTTGCTAAGCTATCCTCATCTATCTCCCTTCATATGTCGTAGCATGCCGCAAGGCTACATGTGGGCGGGAAATTGCATCACTTAGGGGTGAGCTTTGAAAATTAGAAAAATTATACCTTGGGAGTATCCTGGGACTGTCAAAGGACATTAACAATATATTATATGCCACTGTAATAGCTTGATAAAATAAGATGATAACCTTCATGAAAACATATTTGCAAATTATTTTTCAAATGTGTGATTAAATAAGGAAGCTTAATTAAGCCTTCATTAGATTTTAGAAACATAAATAACACTTCCAAAAATTCATTCGATGCTTTGTTGCTAAAATATTTACTGCTGAAAATAAAAAATAAATAATAGTTCTAGTCTAAAAAAAATTAAACAAAAAAAATTCTTATTAATTTTTAAATACATGTAATTTTGTAAATATAATTATTGCTATGAAAATATAAATTAAAAGCTTGGAATGAGAAAAAATGTATATTGTCTTTATATAGGGGACAGTGGGGAGTTTTGAAGCATGGGGAGTTGCGAAGCACGGCCATAGATGTCGCTTAGTTGTGGTTTTGATAGGTCTTACATACTGAAAACATTGGTTCTCCTAATATCTCAGTTTTCTTGTAGCATTCATCCCGATAGCACACCTTTGTTGTATCTCTCCAGACAGTGTGTTCAACATTTTGTTTGGAAAGTTTTATTGAGCATTCGTGTTTGTGGCAATTTCATAAATATTTTCAAGCGAATCGAAAAGGTGAGTGCACACAAATTAATCAACAATGATTAGGCTTTCGACGTTCAAATGTATTTATGCAAAAACATTCGATGTGTTACTGACGCGGTGGCAATTTTAAAATATAGCGAATGGAGAGAAATGAAGCACATCAAGTGGGGAGATGTGAAGCACGGCAAATATGTCAGATGTGAACCTGAAGTCGTATTTTACATGCGTATTACGCATTATTTGTTAGAAATTGGAATGTTTAATGCAATTCCAAGGATTTGTTGCAATGACTTTTGTTTTTTTTTCGCAAGTGCTTGAATGATTTTTTGTGTTTTTTCAGTCAATATGCCCCGTTATAAGTATGGTGCGAAAAAGAAACCAGCGATTAATGTCGATGCCATGGTGGCTGCCATGAAAGAGGTGATGATTGACAAAAAATCGCAACGCTCCGTTGCCAAAGCGTACAACATCAATGACACCAAACTGCATCGCTACATTTCTGACCTGAAAAGTAAAAACATAGATCCCGCAACCGCCACGAATGAACAATTGGTCGATTTTGTAACCACAAAATGTAACGTGACTGGTGGAAGAACGGTTTGTTATTTTATCTCCATTCATTTCCATTCATTCAATATACCTGGTATATAATATTTTTTTGGGCAGGTTTTCAGCGTGGACCAAGAGAAAGAGCTGATGAAATACCTCCTTCATTCCACCGCCATGTATTATGGATTGACCATCTGTGAATTGGTAACAATGGCCTACGAGTTCGCAAAGAAGTCAGGCGTTCGATATCCTCCAGAATGGGATGTTCATGGCAAAGCATCGAAGGACTGGTATTATGCATTTATGCATCGCCATCCGAATCTTTCTCTCCGAACGCCAACAGGGCCAACAGACAAAAATTGCCGATGACTTTGGATTTTATGCAAATCCATCAACCAGGAGGTGTATTTTAAGATGCTATGATCTTATGAATAATGTTATCAATATTCATTTCTCTGTATTAAATATGAAGATATTCTTTGTAAACATTCTATTTTGTAATAAATTTTATATTTAAAAATTTTGTATCTATTGGTTCAGAACATATTCTTCTAAAAATATATAGGTAAATTGATTCTTTGGAATAGTCTTCTCATTAATTTGAATGTTTGTTCAAAAATGCTGTTATGAATGTCACACATTGATCATAGGCTTTCTGAAATCCATTGCTGCCCTGAAAAAAGATCATGAGAATAATTCAATGTATTTTCAATTTTTGTTTTTTAATTCTATAAACGCCAAAAGGTGAAGTATGTAAATTACGTATAACCCGTGGATCTCGTATTATAATTAGTCCGCTTGGATTATAACTTCCTAGAAGTTCCACTTTTGCTTGGGAAGTCATTGGTTTCCTACTAAGTAAATTGTTAATGACTCCCTTATCCACACCAAGTATCCAATCATATTTGTTGAAGTCTAGTTCGATCTGTATATAATTAAAGACATTTAGATATACAATGATATAGTAATACAATATAAGTTCCAATGATTCTAAATAAATATTGAATAACTCATCTAATTACAATTTATCTAATTACAATGATTTATTTTTTGTTTTTTCACAGAAAAAATTTAATCATGAAACTACTCAGTGCATAGAAAACCTAAGCTAATTGCTATTACAATAATCGTGATAATAAAATTTTAACGTTTATTCTTGAAAATACAAAATCTTACTTTGCGTGCTGTATAGGAATAATCAGTGATTCCATTTTCCGTTAGCGTATCCCCCGTGTTCTAGTATCTAGTTTTTCATCTATATGATATCCAGTAAGGGCAGCGTTTTCTACCTTCCATTGATCTTGCAAACCTCTCTTCTTCACTTCATTCTGGAATACAGCCGCTGCTATAGGCGAACAAAAATTGACCGTAACATAAAATATAAATAATCATTAATTAATAACACAAACACAGTTTATATATATATATATATTATATTTATTATTATGTTTATTAAATAATATCTATACATATATATATTTACAAAATTAAAAAGTATAAAATGTTTCATGCGTTATGTGATATCTTTATAATACCTAAGCAAATCATAAGCACTTTCTTCTTTTTCTTCGATACTGATATTGTCTCGGCAGAAGACATAGTATGCCTTTGTTTAATTAAAAATTATTTTTTTTTTCTTAAGTACACAGTACAATTCTTTTCTATTGAGCAGCCTTGTCTCTGTAAATATTTTCCTTCAATCTTTCACAAGAAAATTAAATAAATATTACTGAGAAAATGCAGAAATTTATTGAAAAAATTCGACCCTTAGGGCATACCCTTAATTCCACACAACTTGCATAGCCGCATAAACATGTGCATAAAGAAAATCATCCAATCGTAGTTTACGTTTGTCTTTATGACAGAAATGTGATTGGATAATTTTCTTTATGCATATAGTTATGCGGCTCTGCAAGTTGTGTGGAATGACAAAAGATCGTTAGTTTGCATCAAAGTCAAAATAGAGAATGGACTGCGCGATCCGTGTGTCAAAATGATCGATAGGGATGAGAGAGAGGGACCGTGGCAGATGGCCATTTCTATCTCTTTCCATTCAATGGTGTAATGGGAAAGAGAATGAGAAGAAGATTGGCCGTCTCTCACGGTCCCTCTCTCTCATTATTGTCGACCACATTTAATACACTACTTAGATACGGATTGCGCAGTCCATTCTCTATGTCTTTCGCATTCTACAGATGATAACATCAAGGATTAAATTTATATAAGATGCGTCACATCATTTGTCTTTACTTTGCGCGAAAAGCCTTCACGACTTGTCCAGATTTATTTAGTCCAATTGACCAATCACCCAATCAACAAAATTTATGTCCATCTACGAACAGAAGTTGGCGACACTGGCGGACTCTTCTGGTCTGGGGTTTTAAATGTTTCGCGTCAAATTCTATACCGTTCCTTTCCAGTGCTTAACGTTGTCCTGTAAACACGTGGGTGCGATTGTAATTATCGAATTTAAGGCGAAATACTCTGCGAATCATGTAAGTAACTGCACCACTTTATTCGCTGTTGCGTGAATTCTATTAGTCTGTGTTGTGGTGGGTCCAGTCAATCCGGAAAATAGTTTTTCACGTTCATTTCATGAGCGGCATGCTACTGCGCTTTTGCCCATTGCGGTATCCCCCATTACTACACAAATTATCCGGTAGTTGTAAATTAACGTTTCTGATCATCGTATTTGTATAGGAAAAGTATTCGACAAATCGAGCTCGCGTTATATTTGTAATTTTTCGTTAATCAATTCTAATGTTATTGTCATACCATGTATCGCACAAGATTGCACAATATTGTATGTATACATTTTTACTCGTAATAAAACAAATTGTATTTAAGTACACGCGAGAAAGTGCTGTTTGATAGATTTATAATTCTATTCCCCGAATACAAGTTTTTGACGGCTGAATCTATTTTACAGAATGCCGTTGGCTAGAGATTTTCTCCATCCGAGCCCCATCGAGGAGAAAAGAAAACACAAACTGAAGAGGCTCGTACAGAAGCCTAACAGTTATTTCATGGACGTCAAATGCCCGGGCTGTTATGCTATCAAAACAATTTTCTCACATGCCCAGAGGCCAGTAGAATGTGATGGATGTCGTACGATACTTTGTACGCCAACGGGTGGAAAAGCACGGTTAACTGAGGGATGCTCTTTTAGAAGAAAAGTCCAGTGTTAATTTTATCCGATATGTATTCGATTTCTCTCTTTATATTCGATAAATAAACACGATCACATTATGTATTATAGTATTATTTCACACTGCAAGATATTTACCTACCTGTATAACATACAGGATATACTGCAGTAAATGCAAGATTCGTATAATTTTTTTTAGAAACTTAAAATTAATCCTTTACTATCACAAGTTGTATTTATAAACTATATAGTTATGTATCGGTATTACATTGTCGCAGTTTTTTTTAGCCATGTATTCCTGGGTTAAATTGGATTTCTTTTAAATTCAATTAGATATCTTAGAATGTATCCAACTTTTTGTAGCATATTTAAAATAAAAATTTTATAATTGGGTATATTTGAAAATATAAAAAATATAAAATATTAAAAATTGATCATAAATTTAACGAAAACTGTAATTAATTTTTATGTATAGTCTGTCGAATGTATATTACATCCTATTGCCACTTGCATATAACATATATATGATTAAAAATATAAAAAACATCCCCCAAACACTTAATATTGTACAATTATTTTATAAAACATTCATATCCTCGTTAAACAATTCAAAACAGTTTGAAAGCTTAATAGTTTCCAAATAATCAATAGTATTGTGCAATATTGATCGTCTGTTTAAGATTATAAAATGTACATGTTAGATCTTTTACATCTAAAATGCAAAAAACTGCATAAATAAGGATACAGACGTGATCATAAATCTTTATTTCCATACACGCCCATGGTCATTTTTATAATAAATTCAATCTGTAACAGAGATTCCTGTAGTACTGTGTTTCAAGATACTCTCGAGTCTCATGCAGATGTACATAGATAGCTCCTATAAATAAGCTGTTGCGCATGTTGGCGTTTATTTTTTTTTGTAATTTGCATCTTACAGCAATATCCTAATTGACGAAAGAAAGAAAACTTAAGAATGTAAAATCGCATTGTATGCTTGAAATACTCCAGGAGCGACTTCTACGGACCGAGATTTCAAGGATAGCTGCAATAAAAGAAAAGAAGATAGATAAAATTTAAAGTAAATATAAAATGTATAAAATATTCCATGTAACAATTTTTTTATATAATTTCATTAATTTAAAAAAATGTGCACTAAGTCAAGAGAAAATTATATTTGATCTAAAAATAAGGAAACTTTTCTTAAACAACTAACTGCTAATTTCTATGATAATCATGTTGATAAAATTTAAATATGATACTTGTATTAAGCATACCGTAACATCAGGATTGCCCGGCTGAATTTTCAATTCGTTCAATACCCAGACATTGTTCGTCAGCTTGAGAGACTGATAAAGCATATCCTGTCCCTCTACATTCCTCTTAGCAATTGTGAAGACATTATTCTGTTGCATCTTTTGCACCACTTGATCTGCGGTCAACATTACACCGTTTAGCGTATATTGTACCTGCAAACAAGATATGTTTCTTAAAGATATCTTTTCTTTTCGTTTATTAATGAATCTCACAGAAAACCATTTTTCGACAAACATAGAAAAAAGTAGATGAGTAATACCTCATTCTGTGCAGGTATATCTTTCCAGGTGGAAAGAAACACTCTCTTGTCCAACTGCCCATCTTCCGCGAAGTATGCATTCATAGGTACAATACACGCGAAGTAGAAAACGTCAATATTGTTCTTGATAGCAACTTGCAGATTGTTCAAAGGTTCCATACGTTGCACCGCACCCGCGGTAGACAGTATAACATTCGCTTCTATACTCGATCCAGGACTCAGGGGAGCTGGAACTTGCAACGGAGCCGCCGGCGTTAAGCCAAAGCTATTTTTGTTGAGCTGTATCGCGAATCCTCCCATAGGTTGCATCGCTTTGTTTGTGAAGGTCATATCCATGCTAATTTGGCCATTTCTACAACATATTTTGCATAGTATAATTATTTGCAATCAAAGGGATGTATATAATCAGATGTCCTCTGTATTCATTAATATATATTTATATTAATTACTTTCTCGAAAATGTGCCCCAAATATCAAAACCTTTGCCCTTTTCGGCTGGTAGCCAATTAACTTTGGGAGATATGTAAGGCGTGGGACCTTGGTTGAAGCCGAATATATCGCCGAGCAGACCCGTTGTGCTCTGAGAAACGGCTGGTGCACTCGTATTGTCGTTCAGGATTCCATCGAGACCACCGCCTAGAAGATCCAATCCTAGTCCCGAAGACTGTGGCGCAGGTGCCGGTGTGACCATTGTTGGTCCACCTGCAACAAAGTAAATCGATAAATGAATAAGCAGGTCATATATTTTTTATCTGCAACTATATAAAAAAAATACGTTTGAAATTTTTCGAAGCAGAAACATTTACACAATACTGTTTAAGTATTATTACACTTTTTAATTTTCTAATATTAAATTTTGCTCACCGATGTCCATACTGAGGAGGTCGCCAATCAAGGAATCCTGAGCGGGTATGACCTGTGCGTGGGAGGGTTGTGCAGTTGTCCGGTTAGATTCCTCGTTAGAATTGCTTCTAGCGGGCAGCGACTTCCTAGCACCAGCTGCTCTGCCTTCTACAAACGCAGTAGGAGGTTTGTGATATACGGATGCTAAGCTCGAAATATGGCAAATTAATTCATCCAACAATGTCGGTTCCAGCAGATCCGTCTCTTCTGAGATCAGAGGCTTTTCTGCAAGCACTACCTCCTTAGCCGCTGCCGGATCAGTGCTTAGTAATCGCCAGTAGATGAAACCGCGGTCTCGCAGATCGGGATTGTCAGAATCCTGTGTGGCCAGGCTGAGCACTTGTTGAACCAACTCTTGCGTATCCGTGGGCCTCTTGAGGAACAATTTGACAATTGCGGTGAGCAATTGCAGCTGTACTTGTGTGTTCTCGTCATGGAAGCCTTCCAAGAAGCTTTCCAGCAATTCATCAGCATTGTCGATGCGTTCCGCGTACTCTCCAATAATCCATATCATGGAGGCACGCGCTTCAGGCTCATCTAGTGTGTCCAAATTCTCGCATAGAGTCGAAATTATGCTTTCGTATTTATTAGGATACTTGCGGAAGATGTCTTTTATTACCACAATTGCTTCTTGAACAACGTAATTCACCTGAGAAAAATTACAGATATCAATTAATCAATAATCAACTAATTTTGAAATATTAAATTTCAATATTATATATTTAAAATATTCAAAATATAAAAATATATTAAAGATATACTTAAAAATTTGATATTTTAAGATGTCTGTGATATATCTTTACTTACTTTTGTTTGTATCAGGTCCAGTAACGTGGAGACGCAACGTTCTGCAGACGGCTCGACTTTTATAGCGCAGCGACCGATGGCCCGCACAGCTTTCCTTACAAAGTCCACGTCGACCTCGGTGGCGTATTCCTTCAATTCCGAGAGGACTTGCGCGATGTTGGCCTGTGACGCTAAACGAATCATAATGTCCAGCTTCTCCAATTTTACATAAATAGGATCGTTGTATTTGACGAAGAATACTTTCATCTCGTGTTTTAGAATATCTGGTCGTTTTTGCACAATGAGATTGATATTTCTCAATGCGACATATTGAACTTCCGGTTCGGAGCTCAATAATGTAACAAGAGGAGGCGCCAATTTCTTTGTAAGTGTGCCGACAAAATCCGATTCGGACTGCAGCATCTCCATTAATTTCATTAATACCTAAAATGTCGAAATAAATTTGATTAATATATAAAATCAAGTAAAAAAGTATTAAAAATAAATTTAAAGGATTCAGGAGAAGAAATTATGATCAATCCAATCTTGTTAGTGCTTAGATATTGATGCTAATGTACCAAAATTTTAATAAATTGTATAAGATAGGGTTAATCAAGTTTTTCTCCTGTATTTATTATTTATCTGCATTTACTTTGACGGCAGAAAGTACGACTGCAGCATTAGCATGTGCCAAACGCGGAGTGATCCGTTCGCAAATGCTCTGCGCTTCGCGATCATCCTTGGGCGAGTAATTCGCTAATGAATCCAGGATGAAAACTTGGCCCCATTCCGTACATTCGTTAAGCGCCGTCAGAAGTTTGTTTATGGTCTGTGCGTTCATTTCTACCAACGGTTGACCGCTCGGACTGGCCTCGTTGATCTCAGACAGAGCAGCTACCGCATTTGCAACAACCTAATAACAATATTAATTAATCAACACATTATCCACAGAACTGTTTTCTTCAGGTAACAATGAATTTTAATCTTTTCTGCTTAACAAATTTCTTTTGCTTTATTATACCATTTCTAACAATATTTTATTAAATATCTGTATAAATAGAATAAGATTTTAAAACGTCTGTTGTATTATTTAAGTTATCAAGTTCTGACATTGGGGAAGTTTACATACCATTGGATTACTGTCGGACAGGAGATCCTTCAACTGATCCAGGAATCCCTGGTCCTCGACTAAGGCCGCGTTAATGTCATAAAGTTTGGCGACGCACACAGCTGCAGTCTTGCGTACATACGGGTCCTCATCCTTCAGGCATTTGCGCAGCGGCTCGCACAGATACTCGGTTATCTTGTCAACACGTATACAGCCCATCGTGCGAACTGCCAGAGCACGAATCAGCGGATTTGGGTCCTCGCAGTCCTGCGCAAAAATCGGGCAAGCCAGGGATTCAAGTCTAGTCACAGTAGTGGCTATCTATCTCAACCCATGAACTTTAACAAAGTAGAAAGTGGCATTGGTACCTTTGTCATCGGAGATGTTGCTAGCTCCTTTTGCGTGTCAGAACGAAAAAGGTCAAATTGGTCACCGTCACCATTTTTCATTAAGTGTTAAATACTATACTTATCAGCCATTTAAAGTAGTGTATAATCGAGAACTGATCATTTTTTAAAGAGCACGAGGTATCATTCTTCGTTAGTTTCTTTCTTTTTCTTTCAACAACAACGTTGTGGCATAATTTTGCGAATAAAGAATTAAGAATTGTGTTACACCAATATTAGCACCATGCAAATAGAGATAAACGGTGTATCGTCCAACATATATATAGAAAAATATATTTACAAATATTTATATTAATCGCATTATGAAGTATTATTTGTAACACGAGAATTACATTCATCAGATACACTGAAATTTTATAAATATAAAATATATTATTATAAATAATATATATATATATATATATATGTATGTATATATGATACAAAATACGTGCAATTAATAAATATCATCTTTATAGAAGCACTGATTGGTAATACACAAATACGTATAAAATGAACATTTAAGGAACCACAATTTTCATGCTGCTGCACATTAGAAATTCACGAGTAAAAGATTAACCAAGATTAACGTTCGAACTATCATTCCTTGATTTGACACGATATTACAACTGCAATACAAAAATCAATTTAGTATATTTATATTGTAAATAAACGGCACTGTGAAGAATGAATAATTTGCTTTAAGCGTTTCTTATGTAGATGAAAAATTGTGTGACTTTTCGAAAGAAAATTACATGCTCAATTTTGAGAAAACAAGACATATGTATCAGTGCATTAGCGTGAGGAGGATAACGAGATTTTAAATTACTCTATCAATTTCGGTAAACTTAATCATGTATTATGGATATTAGATTAATATAATGGTCTGCCTAACGAAGTACATTCTGGAATTTGATTCTGTAACGATATTTGTAACGAGTAATTTAATAGCCTCTTTTGCTACTAAAAAATGGAATATTGGAACAACCAAAATCCAAACCCGTGCCCTTTGAAAAATAAACAATTCAGTCGCAATGAAGGAAAAAGTTACATTCCGTCCCATAACGCAGACAGCTCTGTGCAAACTTATTTGCAAAGCACAGTCTGTATTCAGTGCGAGGCACGCTGTAAAATGTAACACAGCCAGGATGATATCCGATAAAGGAGATTATATTTACAATCTGACAGTCGTTATAAGGAATACATAACGACGGATAATTTTCTAATTTGTCTCTTGTTACAGACAGATTCCGAACATCATCCAAGTGTCATTAAAAAATATGTAGAGGGTAAAGGTGCGTTATATAGTAAAATCGTGATGACGAATTGAATGATGAGTTTCTAAGCTACGTTACCTTGACGAACGTGTTGACTGCCATGATAGCCATGTCCGGTTGGCTCTTGGCGTAGTTCATCAGGTACAGGTATACCAGCTTTTTCAGTTCCAGATTGTCGGTCTGCATGCAATTCACCACGTCGGGAAACAGTGCAGACACATCTTTTCCTACTGTCATAGAAGCAATGACCTGGACAAACAATTGATACTCTTGAGTTATTAAACAGTGCAACATTATTGTGACATAGGTGACATTGTGAATGTAACATTCTCAACAAATACAGATCTATTACATTTTCATTACTATTAAAATCAATTAATTTCACATTCTCTATGATATTATTTTCTAAAAGGAGGCATTTAATTTCTACTATATGTGTTTCCACATTATATATTATTTATTGTTCATGTAATTTTTGTTCTATACCAATTGTACACTTCACTAGTGTAAGAAGCATAGTGTTGCAATCATAGACAAGTACAACTTGCTAGACTACATGCTGATGCATTGCTTTTTTAATGAATTTTTTTTAATTAACATACAACAAATGTTTTTCATTATATGCAAACATATAGATGATAAACATATTCTTAATATATTGATAAATTCAGGATAATATTACTGATCAAAGAATTATTAAATTATTGTAAAATAAAATATAGTAATTATAAGATAAGAATATTATACACACAAGAAATATTCTTGTAGAAAGAAGTCATTGGAATTATCAAAATACTAGAGTTCCTTCACCTTAGATTTTACAACTTACCTCACTATCCAAATATATTACCTTCTATACAAGTGTTCTGCATGAAAATGCTTACTATTTGCATAATATTACTTCTAGTATTATAATAGTATATCATAATAGTATTTCTTGTGAAAACAAGACAATTACAATAATAAATTTTTTTATTTACCTTCTTTACAGCTTCCTTTTTCTTTTCTTTCTTCTCATTGTTCAGTTCTGACTTGAGCTCAAATATCTCTCCCTTCTTCGTAGTGGTAAAATACTTTGAATCCGTCATCTTGTCTGTAATGCAAGTAACAAAAGTATAATTATATAAATTTGTAATCTCAGAGGATATTAAATCTGTAATGTCACTTATACACAAATATGCACAAAATCAATAAAACTCTATCTATTTTCTATCAATTTAACAATGAACAACTCCTTATATTATTTACATAATAATAAAAGAAATCATTATTTTACCATTAATTATTATACAAATCTTGTTTTACAGAATTAAATATTAATTTATCTCAAAACATAATTACAATTTAATTTAATAACACCAAACTGATACTAACAATAATAAGGTCAAAGGTGAGAGATTGATGTGTATAGAAATGTCAAAATGTTCGCCAGCCGAGAAATCTATGGAAGAGCGGCAATAGACTTCTGTACACTGGAAAGAGAGAGAAGAGAGACGAGAGAGACATGCAGTGAAATTAAATAAGATTTCGCTATATAGCGAATCCGGGACTGGATCAATGTCCAGAATCTATGGTGCCATAGCGCTAACTCCCCCGCCAACGAATCGAGCTGTCATTTAACGAGGAGCGCTGGTCGGGAAACAGAGGCGCGGGGGATGCCTCGGGGAAATAGATTATCACCGAGAGCCGACGGGCGATAAGCGAGTGGCGTGGCACGCGGGCACGTCATAATAGAGCGGAATAAAAAGAAACATTACGTAGAATCTCGAACGGTTGCATCTGGAGCGGGGCCGCCGTTGCAGCTGCTCTCGCGTCGTCGTCTCATTAATTACCTGTCTATTTAACAGCGACTAGCGGCGGCGGGGAGAAGGGGCGAGAATGATCGAGAACGAATCGTTTTATCCGCAAACTCAGATCTGGATGACGCCGTCCGCCCCCCGGGCAACTTTGCGCTTCTGCTAAGTGCGATATACCGGGGGCACCTTTGCGACACTTCGCTGTAGCAGTGTAACACACGGCTATCAGTGGCCACACAGGCCTGGCGCACATCTGCGTACATGTGGGGGAGAGGAGGCCGTCGCCTCCAGTTATCGATAAGTGACTTGGCTCTGATTGGCCGTCCTCGCTCTTGGAATGCACGTGTGCGCTCGGCGTTAGGTCCGTTATCTCAAATCAGCGCCCGGGCGTAATGCACTTTAGCTGAAAATTCACTTCGATTATTGATTACTGGTTAATTTAATCGGCAGAATTACTTAATGCATAGAATAAATGCAGCTAAGGGCAAATTTTCATTTCTTTCGGGCAAGTAGGCCCGGGGATAATTGGAAAATGATGACATTACTGATCGTTTTGGCTGCATCGATCGATAACGTCATTGTCCTTCAATTATCCCCACTTGACAGAACACATGAAAATCTACCTTTGGCCAGCCACTTTAACCTTAAAATATGTATAATTATTTAAGTATAATAATTTTATTATTTTATAATTGTAAATAGTTATATAATTATTATTGTTTCAAAAATTAAATTTTTGATTAAAAATATTGAAATATTTTAAGCAAAATAATATGAAAAAATCTTTAAAAAAGGACAGACCGGTTGGTTACACGATACTCAAATTTGATTGGTGTATCACTGCAAGTTTGCCTTTAGGTCCACCAATTTGACGAATCACAACGTGCGATCACGTCTATGGTATTGCACTTTTCTTCATGTTCGTTAATCCAAGAACATAAGAAAAAAAATTAAACTTAATATCCGCTGTGGATAGTGTGGATGCCGTGCGTCCGATCTGTGTTTTCAAGGAAACGTAAACAAACGTGCGAAAGGAGAAAAGGTTTATGAGAGCTTGTAAACTCGAGTGAATGAATTATTTCTGTTGCCAGGTACGACAGAGAGAGCCCATAATCTCCAAAGATTGTCCGAAAGTGTTTATTTCAATAATGCACGAAGCGTTGTCGACATTGTCCATTTTATATGGGTTCTAATAAATATTTTATCGCTTCTTTAATTTTTATGAGTTCAGAATTGAACATATTAAGAGGAAAATAGAATCTAGATAAAGTTGGTGAATGAATTATGTTAGTGGAAGCTTCGTCAAGTGTTTCATTGGATTACTAATTACCTTGTTTACAGCAGTGTACAAGTCTTCAGTTTTTTACTCTAAGCTCTAAACTTTGGTTTTTTTTTGACAAAAATCGTTGCCTTGAAACGTAATCTTAAGTTTTAAGCAAATTTCATACAGGTGATAGCTGTACTGTTTAGAACTTGGAGCAAGTTATAGTCACAGCCTATAGAGCTTAGAGTTCAAGGCTTACTATATCTGTTGTAGACTGGATCTTATTCATCAAAAATATTTTTTGTTTCTGCATAATTATATAATAATCCTCAATACATTAATCATCTTATACTTTTGTAAATATCTATTCGATCTGTGTGTGTGGTTACTAATTGCAGTAAAATTAGTCTTCAAAATGGCATTACGCACCTACGGAGATAAACCTATAAGTTTTCAAGTGGAGGAAAATGGAGAGTATTACTGTATTGGGTCAGAAGTTGGCAATTACCTGCGTCTCTTTCGCGGGTCTTTGTATAAGAGATATCCTGGCATGTTCAGGAGATCCATAACCAATGACGAACGTAAGAAATTAGTGGAACTTGGACTGAGTCAGCACGTTCTTGCCTCTAGCGTTTCATTGTTGAGAGCTAGCGAGGTAGAAGATATTATCGAGGGCAATGATGATAAATATAAAGCTGTATCTGTGCATTCGACTGAACCACCAGCACCTAGAGAGGGTAAATCCAAGAAGTCAATGGCATGGGTACCTAGCCTACCAAATAGTTCACATCTGGATGCAGTTCCTCAAGCTACACCAATAAATCGAAACAGAGTGCACAACAAAAAAGTTAGGACATTCCCATTATGGTAAGCAAGAAAGCACAGTGAAATTCTACATGAAATTCTGTTGTGTAATAAAATTATGACTCATATTTTATTTCCAATTTAGTTTTGATGATACAGATCCATCGGCAAACTTAGAAAACGCCGCGCAACAGGAAATGCTGGTTCCAATACGTTTAGACATGGAAATTGAAGGTCAAAAATTAAGAGACACTTTTACTTGGAATAAAAATGGTATGTATTTTTATATCCAATAACAAGAATCTTGACAAATTACAACAATTTAATGCATCTTGTATCTTTCATAGAAAGTCTTATAACACCTGAACAGTTTGCTGAAGTACTATGCGACGATTTAGACTTAAATCCATTAACCTTCGTTCCTGCAATTGCACAGGCAATAAGACAGCAAATAGAAGCATTCCCTCAAGAGACAATCTTAGAAGATCAATGCGATCAGAGAGTAATAATTAAATTAAATATACATGTGGGTAATACCTCTCTAGTAGATCAAGTAGAATGGGATATGTCTGAGAAGGAAAATAATCCAGAGAAGTTTGCGATGAAGCTTTGCGCGGAACTTGGTCTTGGTGGCGAATTTGTTACCGCTATCGCATACAGGTAAAATACTCTTTTCTTATTCTACAACAGCATAATTATGCCCTTGCTTCATGCAAAATAATATCATTTTTGTTATCGACATTATTAGAGTAGAATTCATTACAAAAACAAAGTTGATAATTTAAATATCGAAATATTAATTATTTCGGATACTGAAAATACAAGTTCGATAATAAAAAATTATTATAAATTAATAGATATTTAATAAATTGATGTTATATATTTAATTGATATTGATTATTACTCTAGTAATATAATTATATTTATTGACAGTGTACGTGGACAATTATCATGGCATCAAAGAACGTATGCATTTTCTGAAGCACCTCTACCAACTGTAGAAGTTCCCTTTAGACCTCCATCAGAGGCTGATCAATGGGCACCATTTTTAGAAACCTTAACAGACGCAGAGATGGAAAAGAAGATACGCGATCAAGATCGAAATACTCGGTAAGACGTGAATTTTGTAGAGGTATATATTAACTTTATCACGAAGAGATGTAGATATTTGATTATTTGTTTTCTTGTTTTCTTCCAGGCGTATGCGACGTTTAGCAAACACGACACCTGGTTGGTAGAAAAAGCACATCTAGAAAAAGAACACTCCATACCCACATCTACATATTTCAACCAATCTATCATCCTAATTTTTAGTATCCCCTCATATGAGATCTATAAGTAATGATATAATTTTTAAAGACACCATCATAGAGAATATAAAATATGCGGAAGTAACTATTTGTAAAAATAACGAATACATGGTTGCGTTTATTTAAAAAAGAATATAACTGTATAATCAGACATCATTGTTTATGGAACATTCTTATATACAGGGTATTCCAGATCTAATGAGTCATTCTTCAATTTAGAATCTACTTTTTTCCATTTTTATATAATTAAAAAAAAATTTTTTTCTTTTCAATTTAATTTATTAACGGTCAATTTATGTATTATTGTGTGAAAGAAAACTTTTATATCGTACGTGCATATAGTGTGATTGAAAATGTACGTACATATCATATAACACTTCAATCGAAGTGTGATAACAGCTAACTGTGATGCAACCTGAACAGTAAGAAATGCAACTAAAATTGTTTTAAGAAAATTATACACTATATCAAGTATATCTTTAATATTTTTGTTTAAAATCTATCGTAATATATATTATAAAATCTATTGCAATTGTTTGTTTTAGTCAACAATCGTACGACGAGATAATAGATCACGTGATTATACTCATTCATGATAAATGGTTATCGCAAAGCACATGTCTCGAGAATTATTTAACATTTTGGCATCTTGTTACTCATGCGGATCAACATCTCATTATACTGTCTGAATGGATTGAATGCAAAAGGAAATCTTGAAGGAAAAGACAGTTACACTTCAAGATTTATGATCTTTGGTGAATGTATATTGGAATGTAAATTAGATACTTTATTTTAACACTTCATTATATCTCTTTTTCTACTTGTGTAAAATGTAAAATGTAATACAGTGCTCTACTCTGAAGAATTTAGATAAAGGTAATCGATTCCATGACGAAGCACTCCTGTATTTAGCCCTGGACTGTGAACTCTCCAATATAGGACTGCAACAAGTCTAATTGGTGCCCTTGTCAAGATTTTTTTGTGGCAATTCCAACTTTTATTCGCTTTCTTATTTTTAAAATATAATTTAATACCTAATTCTATTTTCACATACATAGATATATATTTTATTAAATGCGTTTTAACAATTATTTTAAAGCGAGCCGATCGTTGCATTGACAGTGAACTATCAATGATTGCCTTTTCGATATCCTCAAGTCCTCGTACGGTCCTGTGACAATCTATATATACAGAGGGTTTGATAAATAATAATAAAACTCTAGCATATAAATAGAGCGGACTAAACTGAGTCGAAAAGTCCTCTACCATTTTATAATTTTCACAATAGTTAACAAGATATTAATTACTAAAAATCGCCGAATATTTTTTTTCAATAATTTTTTAATCAAGTACTATCAACTTTATAGAAAAACGACAAGTGACAAAAATTGTTTATTTTCTTATGGAGTTCTGAGAGTTTTTTCAGAATTTTTAGTACCGCATTTTTCTATGTTGGTAAAAATAGTTGCCAATAAGAAAATGCAGTACTAAAAAGTTGATAAAAAATTCTGAAAAAATTCTTGGAGCTCTATGAGAATAAAATAAACAATTTTTGTCTCTTGCTGTTTTTCTATAAAGTTGATAGTACTTGAGTACAAAATTATTGAAAACTAATATTCGGTGATTTTTAGTAATTGATGTCTTATTAACTATTGCGAAAATTGCAAAATGATAGAGGATTTTTCGACTCAGTTTAGTCCACTCTACCCCTATGTGAGAGTTTTATCAAACACCCTGTATATACACATACATTTGATTTTTATTTTAAGAAATGGTTGTCATCACAATTCCTCGCAATTTTTATCTGAAATATTCTTTAGATCCAAATTTTCGGAGATGTTGATTCTTTCGAAGGAATATGTGTAATATTGCGAACTATTTTAGACAAATATTAACATATAATAATATTATAAGAAAAACATCTCTGATTATAATTTACAGATTAATCTCTGTAAATTCTTATGGAAAATATTAACATTCAGCAAATATGTAATCTGAGGTCTGTCTTTATATTTTTTATTTTTTCTTTTATGCTTCCTGTTCAAAGTATAACTATTTATTTTATTTTATTTTAAGTACAGAGAGAAAGAAAGAGAAGGGGGGTAGTAGAAAGAAAGGAGAGAATGCAGGCAAGCGCAGTTAATTCAATAGAGCCCTTCAGTTTCCGGTGCCGTCCTGTATCTGTGTGCACACGGTACATCTACGCATAATGAGCCTCGGCAAAGTAAGACAAGGCAAGACAAGGTGAAGCAACGTCTAATGAGGCAACGTTGTCTGTCGTTTGCGGAAGGGGAAAAATATGGGGGAAACCAGTGCGTTACGCGCTCATCGCACACATGAGTGTCAATTGACGGCAGTCCAGCTTCGGCAGTGTCCAGAGGCGTAGGTGGATGAGCGGCGGCAGCGCTTGGAGCACGTTTACAGCTTTGGTGCGCAAAGCATGGATCTGACAAGGCAGCAACAACAGCGATCGCTGGCGAGCGCGTGCCGCGGCCCGTCGCCGTTTCCACGCAGACCATGGATGAGCGAGACTGGCGTCGCCGCCGCCGCCGCTGCCTCCGGCAACCTGGGCCTCAAAGGGGTCATAGCCGGTATGTTACTCCTTTCCTTCCCGCCCTCCTCCCTCTCCTCTCAAAAAGAAGAGAGAGATAGAAAGAGAGAGGGGGGGGGGGGGGGGG